GTGTGTGTTTCTGTCTGTGTGCGTACACACCCTGGCTATGAAGACCCCAGCATCTAGTATGGCTTTAATGTGTTTGAGCCAGCCAGAGTTCTCCAGACCCCACAGGAAGTCAGTCATGGATGGAGATCTCATCTCACCCACTGCATGGACAACAGGGAGAGAGAGAGAGACAGTGAGAGGAGTTTACAAACACACACACACCACACAGGGAAATAGGAAAAATACTATCCAGAGGAAGTCTGTATTTACTGATAGCATGCTTCTGTTTTGAAAACGTGAATATTTCTTCCTCTTCCGATCACGCTGTTTCCCTGTTTCCATAGCACGCTCCGTCTTTATATTGTATTCTCCACCACAACACACACACACACACACACCACACTCAACACACTTCACACACACTCACACAACACTCACACACACTCCACACCCACTTCACAAGCACACTCACACACACTCACACCACACAACTCCACCCCACACACTCACACACCTCACACACACACACTCAGCTCTCCCGTTTTCTAGCCGTCGATGATTTTCTGGCTGGCTGGCTCCCTCCATTACGTGAATGTTTTCAAATGCGCAATGAACTGGCAGCTTGATGTTAGTGTAGTGGTCCTCCCGTTCCTCGTAGCTTTACCTGCCTGCCTCGATTCGCCAAATGGCGTTCAGCTGGACACACCCCCACACCACACACACCACACAGCACACACACACAGTACTGCATTGTATACGAGAAGTATTACAACACACTGTACATATGATTCACTGTGCCTAATACTGGAATGTGTGTGGGGAAGTGTGTGTGGGGATGTGTGTTACCCTTGGGCTCGTGTCCACCAAACCATATATGTAGTCACCTGCCAGGGTTGGACTTCATCACAGCTGGGCAGCAATCATCCTCATCCTCCTGACAGCGTCCACGTGAAGCCCTGAACAGTGGCTGACTGCACCGGCCACACCTGCTGCCTGTGTGAAACATCATGCATCATCATCCATCATCATCAACCCATTGCAACACATTACTGTGTGTGGATCCTTGTCAAATTCTTTGTCTTTTTAACTTTTTGCCTGTTCTGACTTGATGCAAAAAGTCCTATGATTTTTTGAGTTGTGGATAACTTTTATTGTCTAATTAACTTCCTCCATCCGTCTGTGGTGTTCCACTGACCAGCGTGTCCTGGTGGAAGTGAGGACAGAGGAAGGAAATCGACCCAACCGACTCCTGAACCGTTGAGCCGCCCACCCGATGATGGCAGGGCGTGGGCCTGTCTTTGGAACAAACAGCTCTGGATGGTGACGTATCACTACAGCCCTGGGAGAGAGGACACACACACACACCACACCACCACACACTTTATACATCTCAGTTAGGATGGGCACCATTGATTCACAGTAAAGTTAACTGTTATTGAAGCTGTGTTTCTGTCCATCCCCTGTTTTGTGAGGCAGCATCAACTTACCACATTTTGCATTTATTTAGAAACAGGAATAGTTTGGTCAATTTATTCAATTTCCAAAGTGTTTTAATGGACAATTTTCCATGGGTTTTCAAAGGACATGTGGGAATCCTTGTCGAATTAGTTTAAGTAAGTATTTAAAACTTGATAGGCTGTTAATATATAGAATGATATACAGTAAAAAAAAGAATTAGAGTTATCGGTTCTCTTCTTTGAGAGCGCTGCTGTATGCTCCACCGGGTTAGGAGGGAGGAAGGTGCCTGATAAGAAGTCAGTGAAGGCTGGGAAAGAGGCTTTGTAACTGATCTTATCTATACGCTGTAAAATTGTCCTGAGCAAAAAGCACATTCACTGCACTTAACCAAGAAGAACGTGCAGGGCAAGCTACAGAAACCATAGAGTAATGGCTCTAAAGGTAAAACACTTCACTAAAAACTCCACCCCTGTTTTTATTACAAGAAGTAGTTTTAATCTCTTGAAATATTCCAAAACATCCCTGATGATGGATGGGTCACTATTCCTCTTAAAACCAACCACACGACAGTCACAATTTAGGACTGGACCTGTACTTCACTGTTGGCTGGCTGTAGTAACCAACAGGGTTTTTAGGAACCTCGCCATCCTCTTGTAGGTCGGTCATGAGTCTATGAAGGTTCCATGGACTCTTTCTCTGTCCCTCCTTGTTCACATGGGGATAAAGGACAAGGCAGTACAGCTCCGCTGTACTTTCTCTAAGAGGAAGGAGCAAATCATGAAATAAAGTTATTTTTTATGTGGCCCCCTACATGCTGAAAGACAAAACACAGTAGTACACCTGTTCATGACACCTTGCCAGACAAGTGTTTAACAGTGTGTTAGAGGATTCATGCAACCACTCAACACACCCCTGGTCGTGACCAACCTGACCAATGAGGGTCTGGACGGTCCCAAAACAGGTTCTCTCCTGTGGAATTGAGGGATTTTTGGTAGACCCGGAAGTTCCTTACAATGCAGGATCAGCCTTGACTCTCCCTGCAGGGATGGTGGGTTGGCTCTCCCATGCTGTTACCATGCGTGCAGCACCCTGAAACACACACACTCTGTCCTATTATGCCACTGTTGGACAACACACACACACACAACACACGACACACACACGCACACACACACACACCACACTTCCCACCACACACACACACACTTCCATTTTCTCCATATGGTCCTCTTGTGAACTAGTTAGCTTTTGTATTTGATTTCCTCTACTGTTTCTGTATGTACAAAGGTCAGCACTAAGAAAATGACTGACATCAACACGTGTAACATTATTGTGTAATGTGTCGTGTGATCTCAGATATTCAGGAAGGAATGTCAACATCAGTTTATGGGGAAGCTCCTGTGCTTTTCAAGAAGAAGAAGAAGAAGAAGCAGTAAACCGTTGCTTTAGCAGCCTTTTGGTTTTGACATAGGCTAATTGTCCTCTTTGTTCCTGCTAATCCAGTAGATACAGTCGGTGCCTGTTGGGTGAAACCTGACACCCTGGAGGCCTGTTTTATCTAGTCAGGTCCAGAGGGATGGGGCAGTGTCCTCTGCCACCTCTGGCAGGAGATTTGGTAGGGGGAGGGGTGGCTGGAAACTCACACAGTCATCGATGGTGCAATAGCAGCTCTTTCAAAAGACAGGGAAGGTTTTTATTGAAGAATACGAGCACGCCACATGAAGATTTCACAACTCCTTACTGTCCTACTGTCATCATGACAATGTTGCACTTGAAGAAGAGGACGAGCTACAGAATGAACCATTGTATGTGCAAGGCCAAAGGCTACCACTGAGGCCAGTGTGTGTCACTCTGATTATTTTATGTCTTCAGCTTTTATGTGCATCTCCTTTTGTACTGGAGCTACTAAATGTAGATAGGCTGATTTAAAGAGCAATGATCTCATGTCAAAGAGTTTTCTATCCAGGTAATAAACCAAAACATGTCCGGGATTTGAGTTGAACCATTTTAAGCAGTAACTTGCACATAACTTCTTTAACACTGCTTGATGCTGTCTACAGCTACACTGCAATCTGTATCCAGCCTTTCTTCAGTAGTCAAAGCGTGAAAAGATTCAATCATCTGCTAACATCTTGTTCAGCTGTTACTCACACCACTGACATTGTGTTTTTGTTTGGAGTAACTATTTTAGATATTTCTTTAACTAATACGACATATGATAAGTGCTTCTGTGCGGATCATGTTTCTGTCACAACATGTCTTCATCATATTGCCGTTCACTTGCAGTCACAAACCTGTCTGAAGAACTACCCACATTCACATGGAGCAGCAGTATTAGCCTCGGGCTGCTGTTGGTGCACATTACAACACAGATTTTTCTCTGTTCTGTATAATAAAATTCACCACTTTATCTAGAAACAGGCAGATATTCTGTTTCTTGGTAGACGTATGGATGGAGGAATATTTGAGAGCAGGCCGTTCAGTTGCATAGGAACAGCCAGTCAAGAGCAAGACTGGAGTATGAGTCAGCAAAATAAGGTAGAAAGCCAGGATTCACTTTAAACTAAGCCATCTGAGATCTCAAGCAGGCAGTGTTGTGAAGATGGATGAAGAGAAATACAGAGCCCATATTACAGCTGCAGTAGGTAATGTCATATTTGCTATCTTTCCCTTTATCCTGACAGTACATGGACCTGATAATCTGTGAAACACTCAGGTTCTTCCTTCCTCTCTGAATTCCTCCTCCTACTGCTCCTAATGACATTTGCAAGAATCCACCGGGGCCGAACAAAAACAACCAATCAGAGCCGAGAAGTTTGATTGATTGCTGAGTCTCATTCCCAGGTTACCTACTTCTGCTTCAATATTAATATTAGTAACCTTGACTGTGGCATGGATCAAGTGTTGAAGGTGGTACTCATGGCTAACAGGTACAGCTTCGTGGCTCCAGCTTACCCATGTCTCCTTGCGTGTCTCAGGGTTGTTCTCTACAAAGATGGTGTGCGTGGCAGAAAGGTAGAGAGTCCCAGAGCTGGCCTTCCTCTGGCCCGACGACCGGTCCAGGAGACGCACATTCTCCACCTAGCAGAGGCACACAATGATCAGTGATGGCAAAATACACAGATCAAACTTGACCAATAGTTAAGAACACACCAAGACATGCACATAAACACAACACATGCGATTTAACTGTAATAATAACAGCTGACAGTATCCTCTAACCATGACTCAACAGATTACAATGTTCACTGAGCTCTAACTAAAGCGTGTCTGAATAACAAGGTCATTCATGGTTTTGTATGGAACAACTAACACACACACACTAAGAGCTAGTTATGAGGATCTGATACTGTTATGAATGCTGCATTATAGATCCTGCATACTCTGCATGCCCATCCTTTACAACCAGGGTCAGACCAGAATGATGTGGTAACGAGGAGGATGGGGTCCACATGAGGTCTGCAGACAGGAGGAAAATGGTGGTTGGGCAGATGTGTAAGGGCAGAGTGTCTATATTGCATTATTAATACCAAAAATGCTAATAATAACTGAACGTCTACGGTAACAGGTGCACATGTGCATCATTACAGCCTCATGCACCAGGCGTGTTTATGGAGAGGGATTCGGAGTCTATTATCGGACACATGATGTTAGCTTCACAGGGATGTTTCCTGTGAATAAGGTGGCCAAGTATTTGTTATGCAGAAGATAAACTAGCCTACACTCCCTGCACTCAAGGTGTTTGAAGTCCACGGTGCCACAAACTGTACTGCTAGCACGTCCAGGAGCAAGGACGTCCTCCTGCAGGCTGTCCCTTAATACCAGGCATACGTCAGTTTCGGGATGCCTCGCATACACTGAAAACACTGTGCCGAGAGACGGAGGAAGACAGAGATGAGACGCAGAGATGGATAGAGACAGAAGGGGAAGAAGGACCTAAAGTGTCACGGTAGAAAAGGCGAAACGAACGGGCGCACCAGCAAGAAACAAAGACGAAGCAGAGAAAGAGCCATGTCGCTGGTGTTTAAATGCCGAGTGTCGTTACCTTGGGCGTCCGAATGTGCTCCATCACTGACAACCAAAATGGTGGAGATGGAGAAAGAGTAGCCCGACGTGTTGTGTGGTTTCTACTGTCTGCGGTTATATTCCCCGTTTCACGTCAACAAATGAGGTATATTCTCCGTGGCAGCCGTTCCAGACCTTCCCTGGAATATTTTCCATGACTTCCGTCCCACCGTATCGCGGCTTTGTTCGGTTAAACTGGAAGAGGAAAGATTCTATCCCACCGCCACCCGTCGTTAACGGTACCCGCGCTCCCTCTGTCTCTGTCTCCGATGGATAGTGACGCTGATAACAGCTGCGTTACTGCGTGACGTACTACACCACTGTCAGGTTAACGACAATAACATGCACCGCCTCCGGCTGTACCTTTCAAAATAAAACCCAGTATTCCCATATTGAAGGGAAAAAGGTCTTAAGTTTTAGCAGTAGTGGCGTTCCCATCTGATAAGAGTATATTAGATATAGTAGATAGCATTTCTGCATCCCCATTTTGCACACGCATATATATGGCCTACCGTGGCCAACTGCCAGAATTGCGGTAAAAAAAATTACTGTACCATTTTTTAAATACTTCCTGTTTTATTTTGATAATTATGACTAAGCGTCCAATCCGTTATTTTTGCAAACTTCATACTTGTTCATCGCACTCGCCAAGAGCGTGCTCGTGCGCTCCGAGGATCAACCACATGCAGCTGCGCGTGCGCATATTCTACCCTCTCCCGCCTGTCTTTGAACGCACGAGATAAAACCCATTCAGATTTATTGTTTTCTATATATTTATTGTTGTTTATTGATTTCCTCTACTGTTTTATATTATAGTACTAGCTATTCCATAAGTTCACCTCCACCCAGCACGGCTCTTCCACCCTTCAGTGATCCATGAATGAGGAGTTTTATCAGGATTTGGATTTTATCACTTAATCATCTCCTGTATATCAACATTTAAAATACACTTGGAATAAACTATGTTGCAGCTGTGTATGTAAATTGTGTGTCCTATTTTGTATATTTGTGTAATGTGGGAACTCACACAGGCACTTTATCAATGCTTCTAATTAAATCAGGTTTATTACATTGTCAATGGGTCATATGTCACACAGCAGCCGGGCAGAGCGTGACGGTCACATTGCAGGGTGACACAGTCAGTGTGTACAGTGCAGATGATTGTGAAACTCTTTGTCATGCTGAATCTGGGATGAACAAGTGCAGGGATGGATCTGGGGTAGCAAAATGGCTGGCTACCCCAGTTCAATTTAGATTAATTTAAACAACAATATGAAACCCAAATTATTTTAATGATCTGTAAGAACCAGATTTTTTAATGATGTGATACATACAAAATACATGCAGTTTTAGGAGTTTGTAGGGAAAATGTGTTAAGATTTGGAAAAAAACAATTTGTGATGTTCCTTTAGATATTTCTATTCAGTGCGTTACTAGTGTGCCACAGTAATGTAATGTTTTTGAGTTCAAACATCTTCATTTGGGGGCTTTTCCGAGTAAATATTGATATATATGTGATAGTTTGTGATTAGAATTCTGCCATATAAGTCTTCCTGCCACCATTGCGCCACCCAATGCATTTCTCTATATCAGCCCCTGCAGAATTGTGAGTTCATGCAAACTGTCACTGAATTAAATTTGATTTGATATGTTACATACTGTATGCCATATTGCTCTCAAAAGCACTTTACTTTGAGTGATGTTACATAGATAATGTTATATCTGAACTGTAACTTCTATCCAACTGGTGGATGCCACACAGATGCACCTAATGCAGGTACAATCAAGTTAAAATCTCCTTTCCATAAAATTAAGATGCACATTTTAGTCTTTATCATTCTGTATTTCTCATTTGGAAATGTCTATTTCCTGAACTGTTACATGACTAAGTTGCACTGAACTGAACACTTAAACCCTATGTTACACTGTAAGACTGTTACATTATTAAGTAGTGAGAGTAGTAAGCTCATAGTTTTACACGATTTCAGTATGAAACTGAGTGTGTCAGTTTTGCACCGTCACATATCAGTCAAACTGCTCCAACTG